CACTGCCCAGATGAGGCACACAGGCCACTTATGCAGACTTATCTCACTGACAATAACATTTGTGTTCTGCTGAAAAAAACATGACACAAACTTAACTGTACACACAAGGCACATGCATGACCAGTCTAGTCTGCCAGGGAAGCGAGTTTTTCTGCTTCCTGCCAGAGGTCTGTTTAATTTGAGGTGGATTCCAATGAATCGCTTCCATATATGTGAACCGCCCCTTCTCTGTATTTCTTGGTTTTTTTTTGACAGCCTCCAGTCAGCCAAGCCAAGCCTTCCTTCCCTCCCCTTTCAGCCCCACCACTTTCTTCTCCTTGTGCCCCATCCCTCAAACAACCTTTTCTTCTCAACCCCCCCCAAATCCTTTCTGTTTTCTAGTCCATCAGTTACCTGCCTTCACCCTTATCCCTTGCCCCTCTTCTCATTTCCACTCCTTTCATGATTTCATATGATTTTATAGGGCAGTGGTTCTTAACCTTTTTAAAAGAAATGCCCTGTTGAGCTGTTGAGGAAATTATCATTGCCCCCCTCCCCACAGCGGCGGTGCACCGCCGGCGCCAGCAGGGGGCCGATGATAACTTCCTCAATGGCGCTGGTGGTGCCGGCACTGTATCCACTGCCAGCACCAGCTGCTCTGGATCCGCTGGTGTTACAATGCCGCACCACCGTCGCGGGGAGGGGGGTGATGATAATTTCCTAAATGGTGGTGGAGGCGCGGGGGTGGCACCACATCCGCTGCCAGCACCAGCTGCTCTGCATCCAGTCGCACGGGGAGGGAGCGATGATAACTTCCTTGGTGGTGGCGGCGGCGGCACAGCAGCTCCATTGCCCCCCATCACCCTCCTTCTGTACTTTTGCCCCTGCGTCGCCCTTTTTTGTTCCATCACCCCCTGAAAAATGAAATCGCTCCCTGGGGAGTGATATCGCCCAGGTTAAGAACCATTGTTATAGGGGGCCCTCACCAAACCACCATCACATTATAGTTTCCATCTGTGCCCACAGACTACCAGTCCAAGGCATGCCTGGGACTCATGTGATTGTGACTTGAGTAATTCTATATGTACAATTTGTTGGAATCTGTGGACCCATTCCTGGCACCCATGTTTCTCTGGGTTGGGGTGATCCTATACACATAAATCATGGGGATCCGTGGGGAGAGTTTCTCTAGGAATTGGAGCCCAAAGGGAGGAATGGTTCCTCCTCTTCCACTGGCTTGCTTTCTAGGTGGAAGGTTTGAGTTTCTTGCATCTAGGGGTGGGATTGCACACTCGTGCCTCCCTCACTGGAATCCTCTCTCTGTGTGTTTGGATGTGTGTATGTGCATTTATGTGCACACATACGTAATGGTTTTGCCAGGAAAAAAACCTTGCCTCTTTACCATTCCTCCTCTTCCCCCTCTATTTCCACCCCCCCATCAGACCCATTTAACAGGAGATGAAGGCAGTGGTGGTGATGATAGTATTGGTGATGGCAGGCTCAAAAGTTTGGGATTCAGGCTGAAGTTTACATGACTTAAGCACAAATCCAAAACATATGCTTGCTTTGCCAGTTTATTCCAGCAGTGGAAACAGACCCTCCAAGCAGAAAAATGGGGCACAGCCTAGCATCCTTTGACAGAAAAACAGATCAAATTTAGATGTCACTTTAGATTCAGCATTCAGTTACAGCCAAATTGATGATTGTATTTAGTTTGCAAGAACTGAAGTCTTGTGAAAAAAGTTTCTGTGGTAGTAGGACCTGCCTCATGCAGCTGATTGTGATATGCCCAATAGAAAATTGAAAAATAGTAGCAGTGTGATCTAGAATGGAAACAAAATTCTGTGTTTATCAATAAAAACAGTGTAAGCTTTCAAGCCAGATAAATTTTCTTGATAGTACAGTTGTTAGAGATAACCTGTCAATATGTATTAGAATAAGATCTGATGAATGTTTACGATTTACTTATAAATGGATGGATGTATATGCTACCTTTTTCCTGTACAGTGGTGCCTCACATTATGATGTTAATTCGTTCCAGCGAAATCGCTGTAGAACGAAAACATCGTAAAGCAAAATTTAAAAGCCCATAGAAACGCACTAAAACCTGTTTAATGCGTTCCGATGGGCTTAAAACTCACCGTCCAGCGAAGATCCTCCATAGGGTGGCCATTTTTGCTGCCTGTCTTGCGAGGAATCCGTCCCTAAACACAGCGGGGAGCCATTTTATTTACCTGGTGGCCATTTTGAAACCACCAATCAGCTGTTGGAAAATCGTCGTTTTGCGAAGAATCGGTTCCAGAAGCAGAGAACCAATCATCGCAAAGCGAAATTCCCCCATAGGAAACATCGTTTTGCGGTCGCAAAAGCGATCGCAAAAAGTTCATTGTAATGCAATTTTGTCTTTAAACGAAGCGATCGTAATGTGAGGCACCACTGTATAATGTCCAAGGTAGCTCATAAAAGATTTAAAAATAATTTAATTTATTTAAATATTATTACTTGAAGATGCAAAGCAAATAGAAATGGGGTCCTAACCATCTAACAGTGTGAAACTGAGCCACATACCTAATTGAAGAACTATCCAGACAGCTTGTGGAACTAATTACAGTGGTGCCTCGCTTAGCGATTGCCTCGTTTAATGATGTATTTGCTTAGCGATGGGTTTTTTAAGCGATTTTACATTCTGTTTAGCGATGTTTCCTATGGGGAAATTTCGCATAGCGATGTTCGGGACCTTGCCTCTCTTAGCGATGACAGTTTAGGTCCCCCTGTTTCGCTTAACGATGTCCGTTTTTGCAATTTTAAGTGTGACTTAAAATGCTCAAAAATGGTTTTAAATGCTTGTGCTGTAGGTTTGGTGAATTTTTTTCTCCCCCATTGGAATGCATTGAACTGTAGGTTTGGTGAATTTTTTTCTCCCCCATTGGAATGCATTGAACTGTAGGTTTGACAGCTGTCAAACTGACAGTTCAATGCATTCCAATGGGGGAGAAAAAAATGCACCAAAAATTAACGAAGACTCAGAACAAAGCCAAATTAAGTTTGCACAGGTTTTGCAAGGTGCACTAACGATCCCAAGCATTTAAAACATTAAATGAACATTATAAGACACTTTAAAAATAGCAAAAACGGACATCGCAAAACCATTGGAATGCATTGAATAGGCTTAAGTGTATTCCAATGGGGGAAACATTGTATCGCTTAGTGATGTTTCCTATGGCAATTTTCGCTTAAGGACGGTAATCCGTTCCCATTGGAACGGATTAACTGGTTTTCAATGCATTCCTATGGGAAACGGTGTTTCGCTTAGCGATGTTTTTTTGGGAACCAATTAACATCGTTAAGTGAGGCACCACTGTACTCATATTAAATAACTGCTTAAATAAAGATATCTTAAGATAAAGAAATATACAAGGAAGAATATTCCACAAGTTTACTATAGGGAAGGCTTTTTCCTGCTTTCCCCCAAATGTGCTAGTGGGATAACCAATCCATTAAATCTTTTGAGTAGCTGATAGAATCATATTCAGGAGTTTCCGAAAGTTGTTTTAATATTATGAGGGTGAGCTGAAAAATTTGGACTGTTTGATTGTTGCAGCCACATGTTAAGATACATCACATGGCTATGTACTATTGCATGTGTATCTCCATCTCCTTGTGCATACTCAATATCATGATTCAATATCTTAATGCAAATTTGGTTAGTAGCTATTTGAGTGAAGGCTACTTTTGAAGACATGTGAATGTCTGTCAAATGATGAACTCTTAATGAGTTTTTAACTACAACAAAATACATTCTTGCTGAAATGTATTGGTGAATAAAGAATGTTTATCTCAACAAATGTATCAATGGAATGCTTGTGAATGGCATGATTCAAAATTCTAATTATTCTAATTATGCTGTTTATGTATGTTCTAAACCACCTAGAGTTGCCTTCGGCCAGATGAGCGGTATAAAAATTAAATAAATAAACAGGTAGGTAGGTAGGTAGGTAGAGTGATGGTTAATAACTCAACCATACATTGATGCCCAGCACATACCCGAACATTCTCTCTATAGCCTTCATCTGATATCTTAAGATTTGTACTTTTCCCCCACACTTGAAGCAGCTGTTATGAAGATGTAGCGTGCTGAGAAAACTGATAAATGACAGAGTCAGAATCGTTAAGTGATGGAATGAAGAAATTGGATTTATATTGGGAGAGGATATTACAGAATGGGGGGGGGAATTATACTGAAAAATAAAGTATCATTTGAAAGAGGAAATTCTGAAGTTTCATTTACTTTACCTGAATTTGTTAATCAATTTCCTAGTTAACGGGCAAACTTTCATCTGTCTCTCTTAAAATATGAAAACTTGTTAAACAATTGTTTTACCCAAATTAAAAGTAAAAACTCTAAAGGAATGAAAGCAATGTAAAATTGAATTAAATTTAGCCATAAAACAGAGCACTACAATTCCCTAAGGTAGTTAGAAGTACCTTATAGTCAACTCATATCATAAGCAAAGAGTTTTGCTACCCAGTACTTGATACTTAACACTTAACAAAGTATATGACTAGCAAGTGTATCTGGAGAAGGATTTCTACGTCTAAGATGTTACCCTAAGAAACCTTTATTCTGTGTTGCCTTGCCTCTAGACACAGATACTCGAATAACTGGTTATGAAAAATGTAGCTGTTATCTATATGGTTTTCCCCCACAATGGCCAAAATTCTGTTGCTTAGCATAATAAATCGCTCTAGAGTCAGTCCATTGAATCAGTGAGGATTTGTGAGTCAACTCTGCTGAAAGTTCTGTTGCTTCAAATGAGCCTATTTCAACTATGACTTATTTTAGCATAGTAAGTCACAGTTTCAGTAAGCCCATTTGTATCAATAGAATGTATGGGAACATTGACTCACCAGATCTCTACCGCTGTATGTATGCAGATCATCTGGTTGACTAGTGCAAATGATAAATCTTAATTATTTTATTTCCTATTGACAATTGAGTTTTCCATCAATATCTGTTTTAGGCGCAGGCAAAGATCTAGCAGCAGCTCGTCATATGGATCCAAGAGAAAACAAAGTCGCAGCCGATCTAGAGGGCATGGAAAATCATATCGATCTCAGAGATCAAGATCAAAGAGCAGAACAAGGAGGTATGAAAGTTCCCAACTTGTAAAATAAGTTCAATTAGATAGCATATATTGCTATGTATGCCTTAACATGTATAGAAACTGGTATAACCAAGAGAGTAGGAGGGTTTGGCTGTGGAGCCAGGGGTTGGGAGTTTGAATCCTCATTGTATATTCCAGAAGAGATGATAGCTGAGATCACCTGGAGAATGGAAGACTGGTGGGATTAAGTGCCTTGCCACCTATGCAAGCTGCATGGTCCAAGAGTGCAATTAAAGAGGCATTGATAAAATACGTCTGAATACTTTATACCTAGAAATCCCTGGGAGTATTTACATAAATTGGAAACAACTTAACAACACATGGTTATTGTTATTAACATCTGGAATGAGAATTATCCTATATTACCTTTAGAATTAAGCAGTGTAAATGGAAGATATTGGTTGCCTTAATGTCCAGTAATTTTAACATTACTTTGATGTTGTAAGTCAGGGGTCTCCAAAGTACGACCCCCGGACTGCATCCGGCCCACCTTGCCTTTTTATCTGGCCAGTGTGGGTGCGGGTGGGAGTGCGGGTGCGCAGAAGTGCGCACACACATTCCTTCAGCCCTTGAAAATGTGAAAAATATATTATGTGGCCCTCACAGTGAAAACTTTGGAGAGCCTTGTTATAACTGATTAATAGGTTGATGCTTAGACTGGATATAAGGGCAATCTAGCTGTGACTTCTGACAACATAATGATATAAAGTAAGACTTCGTGTATTTAACTTGCTGTACCACTGCAAGACAGCAAGAAATAAATGTGTGTTTTACAGGATAACCACACTAAGGATGCTAGGAGATCTGGTCTGATCTCAAGGTAAAACTAAAGCAAAATAATACAAAGTAGCACTCACAAATTATTAAAATTAAAAATAAATATTTGAATTGTGTAATACAAACAGAGGTGAAAAGCTGCAAATGTGCTATGAAGATGAATGAAGCACTACATAGTGTCATTGATATCAGATAGTCTGTGTGAAGTTTGAGTGGTATGATGTCATAATTAGCAGCTGAAAAATGATTAGAAGTATGTGGACCTTTCAAATGAATCTCAGAGCATTCCAGTTGCTCTGTTGTTGTTGTTTAGTTGTTTAGTCGTGTCAGACTCTTCGTGACCTCATGGACCAGAGCACGCCAGGCCCTCCTGTCTTCCACTGCCTCCCAGAGTTCGGTCAAATTCATGTGGGTAGCTTTGATGACACTGTCCAACCATCTCGTCCTCTGTCGTCCCCTTCTCCTCTTGCCTTCACACTTTCCTAACATCAGGGTCTTTCCCAAGGAGTCTTCTCTTCTCATGAGATGGCCAAAGTATTGGAGCCTCAGCTTCAGGATCTGTCCTACCAGTGAGCACTCAGGGGTGATTTCCTTTAGAATTGATAGGTTTGTTCTCTTTGCAGTCCAGGGGACTCTTAAGAGTCTCCTCCAGTACGACAGTTCAAAAGCATCAATTCTTCGGCGGTCAGCTTTCTTTATGTTGCTGTGTAGAAATCATAATATTTGCTTTAGAGATGCTATTGAATCCTGAATCCTAGTAAGACAGAGACTTCATGGGCAAGAGCTTCTGAGATTTGGGAACTAGGGAGTTTATTTGTTCGGAATGGAGCTGGCACTCCCCTTGGAGGAACAGGTGCATAGTTTGTGGTTGCCTCTGGACCCATCATTTTCATGAGATTTTCAAGGAATCTGTACTGAGAAATGCCTGTTGGGAACTTCAGTTGGTTCATGAGGTTTGACTTTAGCTGGATCATATAGCTGGGCCATAATTACTTAAGCACAGTTAATTTCATATTAGGATTTTACATTCAATGAATTACAAATTATGTTTATTTTAACATATGGGTGTCCTAGAATATTGAGTCGAGCATTTGGTACCCTACATATTGGCCTTGTGGTGCAAAACCTGCACTGGCTGCCTACTTATTTATTGACTATTCTGCAAGCTGTATACTACTACTAAGTGGCAGTGTGGAAATGATGCAGGCCCGATGAGGAAAGGCTGAAAGAACTGGGCATGGTTAGCCTTTGAAAAAGAGGACTGAGGGGGGATATGCTAGCATTTTTGCTGTCTTTCAGTACAGTGGTGCCTCGCATTACGACGTTAATTCGTTCCAGCGAAATCGCTGTAGAACGAAAACATAATGCGAAATAAAAAAGCCCATAGAAACGCATTAAAACCCGATTAATGCATTCCTATGGGTTTGAAACTCACCGTCCAGCGAAGATGAGAGAGAATATTTAACGTTGAAAACAATGAGCATACAACAGTGGTTAATATCACTAAGAGATGATATTTAAAACTATGAGCAATGAATAAGGCGGCATCTTACATTATTAACAGGTAATATTGAGGCAAAGATCAATAAGTATACAACTTTTAAAAACTAGTCACTCTGAGAAATGGAAAACACCAAAATAGAAAAGCACAAGTTGTGCTAAAAACCCAAGCAAAGCAGTAATACATAACAACCTACTGTATTTTTCTGTTTATAACATGCCCCCGTTTATAAGACACCTCCCCACTTTTCTAACCCAAAAATTAAGAAAAATTAGCTTTGAGTATTCAGCCTCTGTGCTCAGAATGCTCGGACATTAGGAGTCCCTGTTGAATGTTGAGCCTACAGGCTCCAACTCCAATCAGGTGTGTTCCAGTTGGTTTGTTCAGCATTAGCTGACATCAGATCCATAAGGCTTGTGATTGGAGGAAGCTAAGTCTCCTGACTGTAGGAAACTAAGCCTCATGACTGAAGGAAGCCTGTTTACAGAAGCAAGATATGTGCAGTTTTGTTCTCTCCTCAGCTGTCACAGCTTACTTCTGTGTAAAAGACGCCCCTCAATTTTTAGTGTAATGATTTTAGGAAAAAGTAGCATCTTATACACAGAAAAATACAGTATCTTAAAAAATCACGCAGAAGTAGCTGGTTACTGAGGGAAGGTTTGCCTGAAGAGAAAAGTTTTTGCCTGCTTGCGGAGGGATGGCACAGATGGGGCTAGTCTGGCCTCCTGTGGGAGAGAGTTCCAAAGTCTGTGTACAGCAACAGAAGGGGCTCTCTCCTGTGTCCCCATCAAATAAATCTGCGAAGGTAGTAGAACTGAGAGAAAGGCCTGTCCTGATTATCTTAACACCAGAGCCAGCTTATAATGGGAGATACAGTCTTTGAGTTAGCTTGGACCCAGGCCATTTAGGGCTTTATAGGTTAAAACCAGCACTTTAAATTGTGCCCTGTAACTGATTGGCAGTCAGTGGAGCTGCTGTAACGGGTTGTGTGATCCCTGTAGCCAGCCCCAGTCAACAATCTGGCATTTTGGACTCCTTGAAGTTTCCTGACACTTTCTATCTACAACTCCAGCAGAGAAATAACTAGGGCATGTATCACAGTGGCCAGATCAGAGCTGATTTATGGTGCTGCTGACTTATGTTGACCCTATGAATTAGTGACTTCCTAAAAGTTCTGTCATTATCGGCCTTGCTCAGCTTTTGCCAGTCTGACTCTTACTTGATTTTCTTCTTTTCCTGTTGTGCCTTTGACTTTTTTGTGAGTTATTTTCTTTTCCAATTAAAAGAGAACATAACCCTTCAAAAGTTATTTAAAATAAAATAACCCATTCCTCTGAAAGTAGGTCAGGCTTGGACTTTGGTGGATCTTGGGAGAAGGGATCCAAAAAGGGAAAAAAAGGAACCCAACTTTAATATAGCGTTTTGTTATATTTTGAATTAGACTTTACGTAGTGAACTTAAAAGGTAAATTTCCATTATTTTTGGTGAGTAATGTCCATGGAAACTGGGTTTATGAATTTAACTATAATGATTCAAAATACATATCATCTTATAATAAAATCTCTTATCTCAGTGAAATTACTGAAGTTCAAATTCTCAGTTTGGAAATTAAAGGTATTTCCCCATTTTGTTATCTCTTGTGATTTAAATATCACCTTATATACACTTTCTTCATCAAAGAGATAAATTTATGTTCACATTGTAATTATTTTCTTTTAGGTATACCTTGAGTCAAGAATTGAGGTTTTCTAGTAATACTAAAGGTTCAAAATTGTCCTTCAGCAAAACAGTATGATGCAAATAAGACTTAATAAGATCACAAACTGCATTTCAGCAAAACAGCCAAGATTTACATTAAATTAGGAATTTTAAAACTGATTTAGTTTGTTTTACTGAGCATTTGCGTAATAACATTTTGTCTTCATGCAATCTTTTTAAAGGCAATAATTCGTCTGTGAAATGCAGACACATCCTCAGTAGAAAAATTGAAAGCAACAGCTCACTTTCTGAAACCACAGATATAGTGATATAAAGAAATATTTCAGCTCTACCAAATTTAATAAATCATCCCATTTCCTAATTTGATCATATTAGATGCTGATGTGGAAGAAGCATTTCAAATGCCATCTCCTCATTAATATACATCAGTCTGGGGAATGGAACGGAATACTTACGAAGAGATGTCACAGTTAGTGTTTCTTAGTTTACTAAGTGGAACAGGTTGATGCGATACTGAGTGCTATTTGTCAATGTCTTGTTAAAATGGTTTGGGTCGAGTTATGGAGTCCAGAAAGACGGTGGCTGATAAATCAAAAGTGGATTGAGTGGACAGGAGGCAGTGATTGATACTATGACAGGATATGAAGAAAGGAATCCTGATACAAGCATGCACAATATTGAATATGAGAAGGAAAATGACCCTGGAGTATGGATATTATTCAAGGAAATGAGAATAATAATATCAGTTTGAAATTATTGCTATGTGAAGATTAGGACACTGTGGTTCTTATTACAATATTGTGTGCCTCTTGGATAGTAGCATTAACATCTTTACACTGTACACATGCACATAATACTGAGGTATCCTTAGTGGATAATTATTTATTCCTTTTAATGTTGAATTTTATTTCTTTCATATGCTGTGCATATGTTGGATAATTTAAAATTTTTGTTTCTGAAAACTTCCATTTGAATACATAAGAGT